GAGTAGTTCCTCATTCACTCTTTAGTGAGAGATGATGAATATGTATAAATTATCTGGAAGTTATATTTGTGCATTTCTTTTATACTTTAATGCTATATATTTCACTTGCTCATTGAATGATTGAATGTATCTAGCAAAACTAAGGTACTTTGTATAATCGTGAGATCTTTCTATGTCATGGATGACTTTTGCATAGAAAGACTCATTGGTTCAAGGCAAGTACCCCGGCTAGATCTTCATGACAACATTTCAATCTTCACCATTATTGTGATTTATCTAAATAATAGAACATTAATGTCATGGTTGGATGCCTTGTAGAAGCACTTACTTGTTTGTAGACGGGTTGAGTCTCGGCACAGATAATTGTTGTAAACTTCTAGAAAAGTATCGGAATCATGTGTTTAATTCTCATAGTTCATCTTTATCTTCCGATTAACTTGATGTTGACACGGGAGTTAATTGAGTTATAAAACACAAGTATAATAAACCGGATGATTAACTACTTGTCATAATCCTTGAGCTTAAAGGGTGATTGTTTTACATTTGAATTTATCTTATATTTTCTCTAGAAAACTCTTGGAAAAATTCTTATATTCTATTCAAGAAATTCCATAACTTCAAACTCTCAAGGTTTCCAATTACTTAGTCTCTATCACTGCTACTTCAAAACACTAATCATAGTTTCCTGTGGATTCGACTCCAGACTTAACCAGATTATTACTACAGCTTGATCGCCTGCAGTTGAGTGTACACATTTCAGATCAAGCCAATTACCCTTCACAAACACAGTCTTTGAAGAAGTTTTGCTTGTGTATTAATGTGTGTAGCATAAACCATGCTTGTCACCCACACTTTTTCCCATATACAACATTTTATCAAACTTTTTATTTTTTAGAGCATCTTCAACCATAACTCAATTTTTTACTCAAATTTAAATTAACTTTTGAGTAAAAAGCTTGATTTGATATAAAGGACTCCAATGGACAAACTCAAATTTAAAGGAGAGACTCAAATTTAAATGAGAGCAAACCCAAATTTAAAAGGGAGTACATATGACCATTGAATCTTTAAAAGATGGTAAAATCTTAGCATTAAAGATTTGAGTAAAAATTTGAGTCTCCCTTAATTTGAGTAAAAAAATGTGTCTCCCTTGATTTGGTATAAGTTTAAGTCAAGGGTTGGACTAAGTTTTTTAGATTTTTTTACTCAAATTTAAATTTGAGTCTAAATTTGAGTAAGGGTTGGAGATGCCCTTAGGGGTAGTCTTTTAAAGAGTTTATTTGATTCGTAAAGATCTTTATCTTTAGTTTAACACATTTAGACTCGAGAATCTTCTTTGACTTTACAAGCTCCTGACACTCTCTCTAGGAAGCTCACTCTAAACAAACTTCTTCTTTTCTTCAAGCCCATAAATTTGAGCTTTGAACTTTGCTAAGTCCACATGTAATGTTTTTCTCTCTTCTTTACTTGAGTTTACCCGACCACTCAAGGCAAGCACTTTTGTTGTTTGAGGAATTGCTCATACAATTGATCATAAACATCATGTATATCCTCAAAACACTCTTCATCCTCCCACACATACGGGGATTTCTTCTACCAAATCTTCTACCATCATGGTAGAACTTGCTTCAACTTCATTTGTTGATGTTTCTCAAGGGGGGAGAGGAGTGTGAATCTACAAAGGCCGTAAAGCCTAAAAAACAAATAGGAAGGGACCACCGCAACTGGTAATGATCCTTTTATCCGCCATATTGTAGAGGCCTTTATACAATGCCCCTAAAACTAAAAAAAAAATGCCAAGGCCAATTTCTTTTTATTAGCCAAATAAGTGGTTAATCCAACATATTCCCTAGTCACTTTGAAACTAGGAAAGCAAAAGAACAAAATGATAGAACGAATGAAAGAGAAAAGCAACATGTTCTTGGAAAGGAAGGGGAAATATGTTTGGAAGGAAAGAAACAATTTATTGGATCAGAATATATCCCAAACAAGTAGGATAATGAGAAAAGAATGGCCATCATCACCTTTTATGCAAGCATTTACCTCCATACTCGCGATGACAGTCCAGTAAGATGCACTACGTCAAGAATCAACGAAGACATCATGTTAATTGGAAGAAGTAAAGCATTGCATGACTAGGCAACACCAATTAGCCACCAATTGATATTCAATGAACTGGCATAAAGGTTGACCATTTCGTAAATCCCCAATCATCTCCAATGAGAATAGAAATTGGATTCCAATCGGTCCACCCAATTGATCCACCTTTTGTCAAGATTGATCCATAACCACAAGGGATTAGTTCCTTGATCCCAAGATCTCCATTGGAGTTAGGACTGATACAGTGTTAGGATTTTCCCTTCATGAACAATAGAATAATCAAAAAAAACCTTCAAAGATATACGATTTGAAGTAAGGGTTAAGGAAAAAAACTACAATTAAAAATTGAACCAAGATTCAAAACCCTATTATTTACAAACTTTTGAGTAGACTATTTGATGGCAGAAGGAAATCGAGGGGAAAAAGGAATTTTCAAAGCAAAGGAAGAGAAAGCTGGTTGTTTCCAATGAAAAAGAAAGAACAATGAAAGCTCATTAAAAAGAAGAACAATGAAAGAAGTAAAGAGTGCCAAAGTGAAGAGCCACGAACAGAAGTGAGTAAAAATTAAACCGCCAAATGTTTATACTTGTAAAGTAACAATTGCAGTTGTTTATACTTGTTAAGTAACAATTGTGATTGTTCATTTGTCATGTGTTCATTTATTCAAGTAATTAATTTAACCTAAATAAATGATGACATTGTTTGCACCATATCCTGTGATCATAAATAATGTACAAATAGAAAGACACCAACTAAATCTGATCAGCCCAGATCCAATTGGGTCCAGGCTCAGTCCACGGAGTAAGCCCAAATCTATTAAAAGGCGGGTCAATCCCAATTCATAGATTCAGCCCAATCTAGAATTTAAGAGACCTAGAAGATCCGCGCGAGTGGGAGTAATTACTGGGATAACTACTATTCGAAGATCAAGACTATCTTTAATTGTGCATATCCTTAATTGTAGTTATCCTTTCCGAATGACTAGTAACATGTCCCTCATGCCACCACCTCAACTAAGACTATGTGGCTATAAATTGTAAGTCCTCTGCACATGAGGGATGCACCTTTCACACACAATTATCTCTCTTATAGCTACATCACCACACATAGAGCTTGTCCATGCTCTCTCTCTCTCCCACCTGCTAATTTATCAATAAAGTCTCCAGTCATTTCTACCGTCTTCAAAGTAGAGTAGATTACTTTGACCAAATCACTCTATATCTTTGTTGCTTGTGTGGATATCATCTTTATATTTATTGCACTTAATTATATATATAAATTAGTGGAGTAAGTCACTCTGACTAAACCATTCTATATTTGTATTGCTTGTGTGAATTCCATATTTATATTTATTGCACTTATTACTTATATTAATTAGTCGACTGGTGGTACAAAAATTCACTTTTGTACATCATTAAAATCTACAACAAAAATGGCCAAGTGGCAAATCTTTAGGTAAGGAGGGAAGAAGTGGTCAGTTACTAATTTACTATGACTAATGGAATTAAATAGTAGGCAACTATGCAATGGAAAGAAGCTAAGATGGGAAACAATAGAAAGAAGTGTAACCATCAAAGAGAAGTGGCTATAAAAAGGGTATTAATGACAAAATGCAGGATACAATCAAACCCCACAAAAACCAAAGACTTGGGCATTATTAGGAATAATATTTAGAATAATTTAGAATAAAATTAAGTATTGCAATTAAAACTATTTCATCATTATTTTTGTAATCGAAGAACCTTTGCAGTTCAATAAAAGCACTCACTTTTGTGAATGTTCTTTGGTGGATCATCCTCTTTTACTTTAAAAGATTATTTGGAAACTGGTATACTTAATTGACTTATTTGACAAAAAATACATAAAACAAAATATTTAAAAAAAAAAGTGCACAGTTGAGATACAAAAACGTAAATGCCCATTTTAGAGTTATTTAGTTCAAAATTTCTTATCTTTAATGCACCTTGATTCATGTGTATTTGTTAATATATATATATATATATACTTCTTATTAAATCTTTTATTTAAATTTTAAATTATCTTTAATGCACCTTGATTCATTCATTTTTTTTCCGAAAGTGATTTTATTTTTAAATTAATTTAATATCCGAATAATGTAATAATATAACAATAACAGTATAACAAGTTATTTACACAAAAAATTGTACTATTATATTTTGTCAAACATATAATTTCATTCAAAATAATCTATCTCCGTTTTGAATAGATTATCACATGCACAAAACTACTTAACACTATTTTTTTTATAGTGTATTATTACAGTGTCTTTGTTAAACTATTATAACGTTCGGATATTAATAAATTTTAAAATTCAAACAAGTGATATATTCTAAAATAATAAAATATTAAAATTCTCCTACAAATCTATTAATAATAAATATTTAATGTATAAATATAATTTAAAAATAAAATTATTTTTCAAAAAAACAAATACACATGAATCAAATTACATTAAAAATAATTTAAAATTTAGATAAAAGATATATATATATATATGTATATATAACACATGAATTAAGGTACATTAAATATAATTTAAAATAACATCACTTTCCAAAAAATATTTGCATGAATCAAAGGGCATACAAATATGAAATATTAAAGTTATCCCATAAATTATGAGTAGTTTAATCCACCACTTTCTAAAGAAAATACAAATGGATCAATAATGAACAAAAATGTCATAAAAAAATTAATTCATATAATATATTTAGATACAAATAAGTATTAAAATTAAGAATTTAATTACTCAACATTTTTCTATGTACTTTTTTACAATTAAGTCTAATTTGGTGTACCTTTTTTCAATTTCCCCTCCTTTAAATCTATCAAATATTTTGATCCAAGGCAACCCCAAAACATGACAGTTAAACCCAACCCACACGTCACAAAAGAGACCACCCCTCGATTGCGCAAGATTTGGACCAACAAATATCCTCCATAATCTGGCAACCAAAAGAGTCCTAAATGTTTATCTAAAGGAAACAGTAGTCCGTAAATAGAAGAAAACTGACAAAAATTCATCTAGATATTAAATTTTTGTAGCGATAAACATCTAGATATTGAACCAGCCAGAACAAAAATTACACGCGAAAAACTCACATAATCTCATAATTCAAACATAAAACACGTAAAGTGAACATAAAAAAGGCAACTTCAAAAAACCCACTCTTGCCGTTCCTATTCATCACCAAATGTTGTCTTCTTCCCTGCATGCAGAACACAAACAAAAAATCATCGGAGAAATTGTGTAACGTGTAACAAAAGAGCTAATCAATGCTGTCTCATGTTTAACACCAAGCCTACAGTACCAGGTGTCATGATGGTAAAAACTGCCTACTTGACTATTCTAATAGAAGACGAAAATTGAGTTCCCCCTTAGCATGCACCAACTATATTCAGAAGGTAAAAGCTCAAATTAATAATTTTGGACAAACTACTGTGTGAAAAAAATGAAAACATGAAAAATAACTAGCCTCATTAAAAGGTGGCAAATTAATAAACAAAAAAAAAGACATTGAAGAGGCGGACAATAAAAATGTTGAAGCATATATCATTAGCTAAAGCAGTGCCCACTAGACATGTTAATTGAAGTCATTTTGCATAAACCCTTGATTGAAGCCTCACAGGAGGTAGGAACACAACTCTTCTCAATATAGAGGAATCACCAAATTGTACAAAAGATATTAAATGGATGAGGGTTAGCTATTTAAAATGTAACTTGCAGCATATTAAACAAAGACCCCAAGATAGGTCCCTTTTAGCATACAACGACCACAGCATTGACTGAAAAAAAAAAAAAAGAAAAAGAAAAGGTAAACATACCTGTCCCAGCAGTGGCTAAGCTTGGTTTGCTGGGTGTTCCACGACCTCTGCCACCACCTCTAAAACGGTCACCACCTCCAAAACGGTCACCACCTCCAAAACGGCCACCACTCTCACGACGACCACCACCACGGCCACCTCCACGTCTACCACCAAACCTACCATCACCATCTCTACCACCACTCCTCCCACCACCACCTCTGCCACTGCCAGCACTGTCACGATTATCACGTCTCGGCTTTGCCTCTTCCACTGTCAAGTAGTTATCTCCAAATTCAGATTCATTGAGTTGTAGAGCTTTCTTGAAACCATTGCTATCCTTAAAATCAATATAAGCTATCCTGCAACCACAAAAGATGTAGAACAAGTCATCACTCATCAGCATATATCACATGGCATTTAAGAACCACAACATACTACTAGATTTTATAGACAAGAAAGGGTAAAGCAGCCATGATTATACTCATCCGTCAGGTGACGGGAGGAATTTAGTGTGGTTCAATTTAGGTAAAGCAGCCATAAGAAAACACATTTAGATATTATATTTTCCATGCAAACTTTTAACCATTCACGTTCATGCAGAGAATTCCCATGAAAAGTAAAACTAGAGCTAAAAAGTTGTATGATTAACCTTTGAACCAAAACCTGTACTATTGATCTAATACATCACACACAACACAATCAAACTAAATTGATACACTTTAAAATTGCAGTAAAACAGCTTTTAAGGTATAGCATTGGGAAAGTCCCTCAATGTACAGTACAATTTGATTAATACCACAATGGAAGAAATAAATCTTGAAACAATACATCTGCTACACCGTTGCTGTGCTGCACACATGAACATCCGGAGTTCAAAATATCATTTGATATTTACACAGGGAAAAAAGTACATTACGACATAAAACCATACAATACACAATAGCAAAGACAATGAAATCACTAAATATTCAATTTGACAAATATTACCTTCAATGCAAGATTCAAGTCATAAGAGAAGCAAGGAAGAGAGTACAAACCCTTTAACACCACCATCATAATCTTTTGGAATGGACACCCTTGATATCTCTCCACAAGACCCAAAATACTCTTCTAGAGCACCCCTAATCTGAATTTCATGGAAGGTCCAAGTTTAGCACATATATCCAGGAGTAATTCAAAAGAAGAAAAACTAATGCTACAGGGAAATTCTGCTGGCAACACGTACCTTGTCCTCACCGTCAGTTTTGTCAAAGCCTCGGACAAAGACTGTTTGCCCCTGAGCTCCTCCCCCTCCCTTTTGGTAGGAGTTACTCTCTCTGCCACAATTAGCAATAATGAAAATCATCAATACACAAAATTGAACTTGTCAAACACAAAAAAACTTCTACAGCAAGAAGAATCAGCATTTGATACCCGCTATGTGGAGTGTAGGAACCCCTTTCCCTGGCAAAATCAAGTCTCACACTACGACCCAACAAATCTTGACCATTGAATTCGTGAGCCTGCAATATATGTTCAGACTTTGGGTAAAGTAGCAAATTAAACAGTTCAGTACAAGAAACTATAGTCTTATAACCAAAAAAAAAGGTTGATTTGAATGGAGGCACCACTGCCTCAAAACCATCCAAATGGACATTGTTATCGACTTTGTCTTGACTACATGTAAATTGGGGGCAACGTTGTCTACAACTCAGCCCACTATAGGCAGGAGTTTTGTGCATTGAATACCACCAGTGATCAGGTTTGGCTCTTGTAAGAAGCTCCAAATAAGAGCAATAAAATGGAAGTTTATACAAAGATATTGTTTTTATGTTCACTTCATTTGGTTTTTAGGATGGATTTGGGGATCCGTATCCACCAATTATCCGGGTGACCTGAAAAACAAGTAATTCGTGTAGTATAACATTTTAACATTCTTCTTTCTTTGACAATTAGACTGTATGGTATCAAATTATCAATATATTATTTGCAAGTACCACTGCATCACTGGGGGATAAGGTAGCGTCACCAGATTACAATCAGTAAACAAAAGCTTTACAAGATAAGAAAACCCACCAAAAAACTGAGAATGGAAAAAAACCGATGACAGACAGCAAGGACATCTCATAATATGGGAAGACACCACCATCCAAACAGCTCAGACATTGTGCACAAGAAATCATGTGAAAATCTCAACTAACCATGAACTCTAAAAGGAAAGAAGTATACCTTTTGCGCAGCTTCTATGGTAGCAAACTCAACATGACCAAAGCCCTTAAACGCACCATCTGGATTCATTGCAAAACGAATATCAACAACTTCTCCAGCTTCTTTAAAGAAATTCTCCCTGTAGGGTTCAACAATGGTCAGATGAAGATCAACTAGTACAAACTTTCCAGATCTAAGTAAACAATACATACAAATCAGCTCTTTCCACAGAGAAGGAGAGATTCCCAACAAACAGAGTTTTGGAACCCGATGCTTCAACTTGAGGAGTACTAGGGGTCTGAGGCTGCAACAAAAGTAATTACAGTCAATTTTACTTTTATGGCCAATAAAGCATAACAAAATAAGCACTAAAAATTAGATAAAAAGAATCGACACTTACAGCTTTCTTTGAAGATAAGGAACCCATTTGCTTGGCCCCTACCATTTCTACGCTGAAATCCTAATCCCAAGGAAATTCCAAAAAAGTTAAGTTTGGAGGCAAATACTAAAATCTATAACATAAAATAGGCTGGCTTCAATGAACTCATCCGACGGTCTCAAATAAACTCATCCAACCGCCACTAACATTCCTTTCAAAACCATTCACATTGCACCATATCTTCAAGCATGGATTACCCCTAGTTTAAAACTAACCAAGCATAACAATTGACAAAAGTGTACAAAGCTCCAATTCTAAATTTGAAGAACACCCTAAATGTGCATGCCACCTGATATCAACTTCCTCTCTAAGCTTTAAGTAAATGCCCACATTCAGCAGCGTTCATAGTGAGATGAAAGAATACATATTCATTTGCAAAATGCACAGGTGAATGTATGGCTTAAAAGCCATTACATATATACAAGTATCATTATTTGGCAAGTAAGAGAGCACCACATGCACATGCAGAACACAGGACTATATCATGTCTATGGAAGATTGGAAGCTCAACTTACAAGTGTGTCCATATCATGATTGCAAACTGCAACATATCATTCATAACTTAATCCTTAATTGTTAGTTATTAAATTCTGTGACACCCAAAAATTGAATTAGTTCATACTCTTCACGAAGTACACCTTTTATGGGTAACTAAGAAAGATAAAACAGGGACCAAAAACCATCAAATAGAGTCACACCAGGCCATAACTAATATGGAAAACTGCTGTAAAACTCAAGTCAAAACATATTCATCCTTCCATGTGATACTGTAGTAGCATAAATCTCAAATGTATTGTATGAGAATGTGGTCTTCACCTTTTTCTTAGGTGTCTTGGAAGGTTGTTCCTCTTCTTCCTCTGAAGTGTCATCTTCGTCTTCTTCAGAAGTCTCTTCCGCAGAACTACTGCTTTTCTTTGAAACTTGTGTAGGCTGCCACGATTAAGTTCAGTCATAAATAAGATGACCCAAAACCAACTTTGTTAACAGATTTATCAGCCCTCAAATTCAAAATTCTACCACCTTTTTCACCGACTGCATTTTTGAAGGCTCTTCGTCAGAACTTTCCTCATCGCTACTGCTCTCATTTTTGGCAGGATTTGCACTTTGTTTTGCGGTGTTGTGTGTACCAGAAGGCTGCGGCATAGTCGCATTAGGTGATCACTTCAAAATATGGAATTGTGATAAAAATATAATGCATTATAATATACCAGGACTTTTATCTTTTTCTTTTGAGGCTCTTCACTGTCACTATCCTCAGTACTGTCATCACCGCTGTCTGCCTTCTATGGTTGCAAAAGGTAAGAACAAACATAATTAACTAGCTCATACATGAAACAGGCATCACAAAGGTTTAGTATCCAATATGCTATCCAACCCCTTGAACAGCTCATAAATGAAGATTAACAGAAAATTATCGAATCCATGAGATGTTCTGTGGCCATGTTTTCATGCCACTCTTTGGGGAGGGCGATGACGATACCTGCTTGGTATCAGTTGTCAAGGAGGGTTTCTTTAAAGGACCACCTTTGGTTGCAGGGGCCTGCAAAACAATTGAAGACAAATAAGAAGCACACAAAGATATCCATGAAGAAAGCTTAGCTAAACAAAATATAATGAATGCTAAGAAGGAAAAGAAGAAAAGAGATTTTGATAACTCATCTAAACCGAATAGGGTTTTGACAACCAACACAACTCAAAGAAACATAATATTTTGCCCAGTTTCTTCTTCACCCCACTACATGAGATATGCATGTAAATGCATGGTAATACATGCAATATGTATAAGGCAGTGGCAATATATTGGTAGAGGGGAAGAGGACAAAATTAGACAAATAGCAATTTTTCAGATCTTTGTACTAATCATAGTTATTAAACCTGGCCCGGACATGAACTCGACAAAGAGACCAAATCAATGGATCACTGGTTCTCAACTGGTCAGACCGCTTATACTATAAAAAACAAATATTAATTACAAATAATTGTGATTGTGCTATGAAATTATAAAATTTTAACCCCTAATTTTGTGGATAGATTATATTTTTTCTCCTATACTTTAAGCTAATGAATCTACAAGTTTTCATTGAAATTGGTACATGGCAGAAGGTGAGGTTCCTCTCGCAATGTTAATGACTTGACAACAAAATTATGTACAATACTCCCAAGAACTATGCATCAAAGATAATGCTAATGAACAGATTTAAACTTGAAAAAATCAAATTCCAATCAATAAATAAAATCAGAAACCCCACAGAAGCCAACCGAATTATTAAGCAAAAAAATTCAAATCCTATGCCACAAACATCAAGACCCACAAAACATAAAATGAACTAAGATACTAAAAGACTAAACTAAATTCAGAATTCATGAATAATAGAAAACAAACCTTAAAGTTCAAACGAAAGAAAGAACAACAAATGAGTTCAGGGTTGTGAGACCTAGAGTTTGAGTGTCAAGGGTGGATGACGGACGGCAGGCAGCGGACTCTTCAATTGAGACGGAACGACTGATGAGCCCTAAAATCTCTTACTCTTATGTTGAAATAGAATGGAAGTCTAAGAGAGATGGAGTGATTGAGTGAAAGAGAGATGAATCCAGGAGAGATTTTAGGACTGGCGAGAGATTTTAATTTAGGGCCTAAAATTAGGAGAAAAAATAGGAGCTGCTTTTTTTATATCAAATTTAAAACCCGATGGTCTGAAGAAATCGGTTCGGTTCACACAGGTTTAATCAAATCTGCCTGGGTCAGCCAGATTTCTCACGGGTCTTTGCATGAACGATCTAATTGTTGACCTAGTCTGACCTAGAGGCACCGGTTCACTGAGTGTTAGGGTCAATGAGTCGGACTGATTTTAATAACATTGGTACTAATCAAAAAGTTTGATCAAATTTAGAGTTTAAATTTCAGTACATATAAAACATTTTTTAGATTAAAAAATTTAGTATTCAACACTTAATATTTAGCATTCAGTTGTAAATACATAAATTTCAGATTTATCAAACACCATGCAAGTCTTAACTACTTCTATATCATCCAATGATTACAATATCATCAACGTATAAAATAAGTGTTGTTATCTTCCTACAAGATGCATAACAAACAAAATATGATTGTCTTCACTCTGATGATAACCATATTGTTGCATAACTCAGGTAAGCCTCTAAAATCATGTTCTTGGAGAGTGCTTCCAACCATATAACAAATTTTTCAGTATACATACCATTCTACTATTCAAAGTAAGCTCGAATCGAGGGGAACATCTATAGAAACTTCCTCCGGTGCATCAAAATTGTGAAAAGGACAACCAAGTTTTGAGCCAAGGAAAGCTGGACACGAATAGAATTCATATTTGTATCCACATTACATCTCACTATAAAACCTCCATTTAAATTCAATTGAATTCTTTCCTTTGATCAACTCAACCAATTCCCAAGAATTGTTCTTTCAGAGTGCATTCCTTTTCTCAAAAACTCATTTTTTCCAGTTGGGATCATTAAGTGCATCTTGTAAATTTTTTAGGAAGAAACACGAAAAAGAATTAGGATTCAAAATAACAATTAAATGGTAAGACGTAATTTGATATTAGGTGTTGAGTAAAACACCCTCACGTACAAAAATGGCGAAGTCATAATAGAAATCAATAACGAGTACTATTAATCATCAAAACTAAAAGCCTATGAAGCACGAATACTTTGATAACGCTGACGTATCCGTCGTACACGATAATCGTCGAATCCTCGAGAGTGCAATGAAATAGTCACATTCACTTTGTAAATGTCCTACAGTAAGACGATGGGTAACTTTTAAAAATACAAAATTGTTAGTGTTATTTATTATTGTTAAAGAATCACTAATATTTATATATATCAAATCATTACATAATAGTACAAATATAAAAGATATATATTTATAAACGTATCCTGGTCGTACCCGTATCCTATTTTTTGAGATTTTGTCATATTATTGTATCCGTATTGTACCGTAATCATATCCATACCCATGCTTCCTAGCTAAAAACTATCTATGGAATCACGTGAAGTCGTGAATTAAGACAGGGAGGAGAAGAAATGAGAAAATAGAATAGAAGAAGAAGAAATAGCAAACCCTTGCAAAGATTAGATCAAGAAATATGCAAAAATTCTCCATCAAAAAATAATTTTATTAATATCACTCTAAAAAACAGTAGGGATTAACATCAATATTTATAGGTCAAGGCTCCTGACAAAACAAAAATTATTTTTTTATTAAAATTCTAAAATAGTTTCATAATCAAACTCTCAAATACCTATCCTACTAATACTCCATAATAATTTTCTAATCAAACTCTCACTAATATTCCTACATAAACAAGTATTCCTAAATTAAATAATCAAATAAATAATAATAAAACTAATCCTCGTAAAATACCAATCACACTTTCCCTTGTAATGAAAATTCCTAATCTTTTGCTTAAGCTTCCAAAGTCGATTATAGTCGTTCAGCCATGCAATAGATGCACCATCAATTCTCCTCCACTAGAAAGAAATTGATTCCAGTGAATACTGAGGAGAGCCAAGAATATCATCTAATGGAGAAGCTCATTTAATCAATAAAGAAAACTTTGTCAATTGCACTGTACGCACATCTATAGCACAAGTGTGTATTTCTTTTTTCTAATCATAAAAGAATAAGTATTGGCACGCCCATATCCACATGCATCTTAAAAGTATGTGACTGCTTGAAAGACTATATCACACGAGTTTCACCTTAGGTGCTCCAATAGTGCACATAACTTGACAACTCTCGCCATCATTCAGCTTGGTATTAGCAATCCATGCGACATGATATAGTTTCAGATGTGGTTTACCATTCAAATTCAATGGGTTTGATACCTCTTTTTCTTGTCTTGCATCAATTCTCTCGCAAGGTCGAAAAGCACAAAAATTCTCCACACAAATAATTTCATTCATATCACATTCTAATAAAATAGTAGGTATTACATCGATATTTATAAGTCAAGTCTCCTACCAAAATAAAAATTATTCTTCTACTAAAATTCTAAAAGAGTTTCATAATCAAACTCTCACAAATACTTCTAGTAAAGCAACTACTCCATAATTAAATAATCAAACAAATAATAACAAAATAATCCTAAAAAAATCTACTAATCACACTTCCCTTTAGACCAAAAAATCCTAGTCTTTTGCTTAGACTTCCAAAGTTGATTATAATAGTCCAGCCATGCAATAGATGTGCCATCAACCTCAATTGGTGCCCATAAATTCAGAACCCTAAAACGTATTCAATTGTTGTGGTAAGTGAAGCAATTCCCCTTGTACATCTTAATTCATAGAGAACATCAACACCCTAGCAACTTCTAAAGATGATGGTTTTTTCCTCATAGCAACCTCGTTAAGCTGAGGCATAAGTACATGAGGTTTGTGTGTGCAATGTCATGTTCATCAAAATAAGAGCAAAAAGCACCATAAAAATACTTAACAAATCAAAGTAGTATGAGAAAAATAATCTAAAAATGTCCCAAACCCATTAAATCTAGATAGACTCACAATTTTTATGGGGCGCCAATTATAAATATGGGTAATGGCAAAAAAAAAAAATTTATTAAAACTAGCAACAAATGACACTATGATCTTATGCAAGTTCACAAACATCATAACAAGATTTAAAGACATTCAACCTAGAAATCGAGAAAATATACATATTTTGTAACAAGAAAAACGATGTCTTAATATTTGATGTGGTAACAAAAAGTTATCATGTCTCACTACTTTCTTAAGTTATAACCTTGTTCAATTCTACAATATTGGGCCCGTGAGAATCTAGAAAATAACTATCATCTCCCACGACAATCTTCTTTCCCGTGACAAGGTCCTTCAACCAATGGGAGGGGGAAAATGCCACCCTATAATTTAGTTTTTTACAATGCTACTTATAAAGAGAAGATTACTAGAGAGATTAGGGACATGTAACATAAATGACAAAGAGATGATGGGACTAGAATAGATTACTTACCAAACATAGAAGAAAAACATCAACTATTTTAAGTTTCTATTTTTCTAAACAAATAGTTTAATGTGAGAACAAGATGATTAGATGCCTTTAAATCAATTATCAAGGGATGAAAAAGACTATCATAGGATGAACTCAACACCATAGATAAATTGTCTGAATGGACAAAAGAGGTGGATGTTAAGAAGCATGGATACTTTCTGGGGAGCCATGACAGTGTCGGACACAGCTAGACGTATTCTAAATAGCAAATTTAGTCGAACACAACCAAGACACGGCCAAGACACGGCTAGGAAATGACCATGATTTTTTTTCAAACACACGACTGCTAACTACTAATGAGGATTTATGATTTCTTTAGTTTGGTTTTTTGTTTTTTGTTATGTAACTTATTAACTGAATTTTAATGGATGTAATTATGTTTGATGAAAATGGCAGAAATTTATTTTGATCTACTTCAATTTTATTTTGAATTTTAATGGATGTAATATTTGCTTAGGTCATATCATTCATATTATCATAAAATAAGTTTGTGTTTATATATTATAATTATCTTAAAAAAATATAATATTATTTTAGTCAGTCGTATCATTGTCCTACCTGTGTCCTATATTTTCTAATTTTATCGTATCTCCGTGTCTGTATCCATGCTTCCTAACTAGTGCTAGCCCAACTAAGAGGGTCTTGGTCATAGCAAGCAAATACTAGATGAAAAAATCTCTAACAATTTCCATCCATTCTCACAATCTACTTAAAAGTCACAAACACTTGCCAAATTGCTCCATTAGACATGAAAAATAGTGAGAAACATAACAAAATTCTCAAAACACCACTGCAAAAAAAAATGTCTAATCCATTTATTGAAGGAAACATAGTTGTCGACCACTACAATGTCCCTGAAACCATGGTCTAAGGACTCTGTATTGGCGGCTCAGATGACACTTAGACACATCGGTTGCGGCTTCACTGAACGATGTCGGGTGATACGCATGAAATGATACCTAGAATAATATAACATTGGATAAGATACAGGACATATGGCAATGACAGAGAACGGTAATTAATCGATTAGGTAATGAGGACTCTACGACCCAAGCTTGACTCGAAGATGGCACATAAGACTCATGGTTTATATGAAACGTGGATCTGTATTAGATCGAAAGGGGGCAAGTCAGATTGGGTATTAGATGATACTTTGAACCATGCCTAAAACACTTAGGGCCTGTTTAGTATGTTTTTTGGGAGGGGTTTGGATTGGATTGTCCAAACCCGAGTTTGACCAAAGATAGGATTCAAAGATGGGTTTGAGGGGGTTAATGATATCCATGTCCATGTTTGGTATGCAGCAAGGGTATATTACTATTATGATAATATATTTGTATTTATTTGACTTTTTTGCCCCTTAACCAATTTGTATATGAGGTATATAAGATATATAAGGGTATAAATGTCATTTACATGTTAAGCCCCCAAACCCACAAATGAAACCCACCCCCCCCTTGGGCTTCATGAAACCCAAGTATGTGGGTTTCATGATCGGGCCATGACCGGACCAAGTTTGAAATCCTATCCATACTTCATGGTTGCCAAATATGGGTTTAAGGGGGTTTACTCCCCAACCCAAACCCCCCAAACCCACATATCAAACAACCCCTTAACACACTGGTAATTTTTAGGAAGGTCTAATCCCACTTAAAGCTTCCATTCCAAGGAAAAATTGCATCATTTATTACAAAAATTAAAGAAAAATTGAAAAGATGCACTGAATAATCTTGATTCAACCTCAAAAATTGAAATCTATGCCAGTAGTGGATCATGCTTTTTGTGTTAGCTACAAGCCCCTCATACGCTCTTTGTGCGGATACGAATACGAATCAACCAATCGCTCTCATACCGAATTGAATTTGTACAAGCAAACAACCAAAGAAAGAAATGAAAGAAAGAAAAATAAAGTAGGGTTTTGAAAGGAGAATGAATCAATGTTCTCACCTTCATTAGCTTGTATTAATAGAGACCTAATAACCAAAATATAAAAATACCCTTATGCATAATTAAAAACACACTATTACACCAAATCCATGTTGCTAAGTTCACGGGGGTGATCTTTAGGGCAACTCGTGATAAAGGAATCACAGGCCATGCTTTCATCACTGGAGGTAGAATCCGGCCAACATGGTGACGGCAAAGTAACCAAGGAAAAGTGGTGACTATTGTGTCCTTATAGATGAAATCAAGTGTCGGAATGAAAAGCATTCATTTGTAAGGATCATTACTGACAGAACTTCCCACGTTTTTGCATTAGCAGTCGTGAGCATAATCTCATTGGAATTGGCACCGTACCACTAGAATCTCATCATCCATAACCAATTGTAGTAGTGTATACATATCATACCATATGCACAGTAAGCATGCTGATTGAGAATAAACTTAAGTGGAAGAAAAAAAGATAGTTTTTTTTTATATCAAATATGCAGTGGAAGCACTTATCTAAACGCAATTATAATTTTAACCAACAACAATAAGAATTTATGGTGCAGGAGGATGATAATCTCACATCTTCTTCAGATTCACTTTCCGAGCTGGTTCTATCACTTGATTCCACTTTCTTTTTAGGTACTGCAACAGTTTTCCCCTTCATATGGCCAAAACAAATTAAAATTTCAAATAAATTTCAGCGTTGGGTAAAGTAAGACATCCAAACTACATGTCTTTTAACCAAAAGTTGGAAACTATGAAAGAGCACAAGGTACCAGAACCAACAAAAAATTAAGAATATAATGCCACACCTCATCTTCATCAGTGTCACTCTCGTCAGAGCTATCACTAGTTTCCTTTTGGTGGGCAACCTTGGGAACATTTTTCGGAATGGAAGTTGGCAATTTTTTGGCTTGGGGAATTAGCTTTGCAGGTTTTTGCTGAAAAAACCATGAACCAATATATTCAGATGGTAAGTTTTCGCCAGTAAGGATACTATCAACATTATACCAAAGTGAGGAAGGTCAGAATAAGAAATGAATTCGTAGAAATAGTTTAGTTCTCAAGTACTCACATCTTCCTCGTCAGACGTACTGTCTTCATCGGAACTATCACTCGTTTCCTCCTTTTTCTTCAGACCAGCATCAGAGCCATTTCTAGCTGAAGTTTCTGTCAATTTCTTCCCTGGGGTAGGCAGTGCTGTTTTTTTCTGCATGTAAAATAAAGTCTTTTTTGAGTAAGCAATGTTGACAAGCACAACGAAAAATCAAACATAATCCAAGGAATCCGAACTCACATCATCATCTGAACTGCTGTCATCTTCTGACTCGGAATCACTTGACTCATCTTTCTTCCTGGAGGCTGCTACAGGGCCATTCTTAGCCGCAGTTACAGGTGCCTTGTTTGAAGGAAGTGTTACCTTGATATTTGGCCCCAATTACAAGATAAATTCATACACAAAATTATAGCACAAAGCAGTTTACTCATAAAAATTTATGTGAGAGACACATTAAGCTACCTACAGAAGACAAGTAAAATAAGCTACCTCCTCAAAGTCACTCTCATCTGAATCTGAATCTGAATCTGACTTGCCCTTCTTAACAGTGTCATTTTTAGAAACAGCCACTGGCTTTTTCTTAGGAATCACCACAGCTTTAACAGCAGGCTCCTGCAACAAATTAAAACAGAAAGTTCTAGAGAACGTTCTAACCATTGCCATGTGAGACGGTGCATAGGCCTCGATATATGAAGGGAAAAACATTTCTCACTTCGTCAGAAGATGATTCCTCACTACTAGATTCTTCTAGGGGTGGCTTGGCTGGAGTCTTCTTAGCTGGTATCTTAACCTGACAATTCGAGAAGTACAACCAACTTTTTTCATTTAACAAATTGAGTACATATTATAGACTACATTCCCAACAAATCCTTCCAAAAGTAATAATAAACTAAAGCATTTGAAAATGATGCACAGAAGCAAAATTACATAATCAAGTAATTGAGTTCTACACCACATAGTAAACCATAACCAAGTTGTTGCTTTTTTTTTCAAAGTTCTCCAGTAGTTCGATTAAGATTTCCTTCCAAAATGATTATCTTTATAATTAGCATCATATAAAGAAAAGCCAATAGTTTGTAGAATCCTACTTTAATCTGGGTCAAAAAAGAACCTTTTAATCATTTCATACAAAATTGACTCAAGAAAGTCACACCGGGCTCAGTATTCAATCATGACACTGAATCACAGTTAGAAGTAACCAATAGCAATGAAGCATATGTTTTAAACTAAAAATGTACAAGTGCCCCAATTACCAAAATATAAAATGGTTTTTGGGAATTAAAACTCTAGCCTAAATAACTCACAAAAAACTACGAAAAATCCATTTAAATGAAGGCAATTTCTAAACAACCAAAAACGTATTCCAAAATAAATATTCAAAAAATTGTAATAAAGAAAATTAATTAAAATTGGGTACGGAAAGGTAAACCTTCTGTTCTTCCTCGGACTCAGAAGAGGAAAAGGAATCCTCAGAAGAACTAGTATCCTCTTTCTTTTGCCTCTTGTTAAAAGACTTCGCCTCGCTCTTCCGCTTCTCAATAGCCTGCACTACCGCTAAATCTTTCTTCTGCTTCTTCGCACTCGCTTGCTTCCCTATCGACTCTTCAGCCTCCCTCTTTCCTATAAACAAACATCAAAAAAAGCCACAGAAACCTGATATCAAAATCTATGTAAAAATAAAAAAAATAGAAAACAATAAAACTACTAAATAAATAAAGCAATCAGATAAATCAAGGGGTTGAACACTGAAACATAGAAAATAGTGAACCTTTCTTCATAGTTTTTGTCGGTGGTACTACATCTGCAGCTGCATCAACCTATATCACAATCAAACCATCAAAATTCACTCAACACACGCATGCAGGGACACATATTTATGAAATATAAAGCATACTTTGGTGGCTGATTTCTTGGTAGATTTACCCATTTGAAACACTGAGCTGTCATGTAGACAGAGTAAGAACTGGTTTTCGGCTGTTTTCTGGGGTTCCGTAGATAGCAGCTGCTTATAAAGGTTTTAGAGACGAGACGGGGAGAGACTCTTGTGTAACGGCCCCAAAGATATTTATAGACGCACGTAGACGAGGCACCTATGTTAGGGTTTTTCACGTTCATTTTACAGCGGTGGGCAACAAAACAGGCATGGGCTTTAGACAGTCCTCGTTAAGTCAGACCGAAAGTAAAACTTGTTTACTCGTATCCTGTTCAGCCCAAGTCCTAGTCATGGGCGGAGCTATGTGTGGATCGGCGCGGTTTCTGGCCCGCCATCAAATTTTTCTGTAAAAAATTATGGATAAAACTATGTTTCTATTGTAAAATTAACACTCTAGGAACGATAGAAAATAAGAGAGATATATTTTCTATCTTTCAAATAAGAAAAATAAGAATGATATACTTTCTTTCTTTTTGTATTTTGTAGGATGAATGAAAAATAAAAATAATTAAATTTTTTTTTTGTGCTGCCTAAGATTAGAGGTGATAATTGAGTCATGTCATGTCAAGTTTGTGTTGAGTCATTGCGGGTTCGTATTGAACATTAATCAAACATAACTCAACTCATTTAATTAATATTGTGGTGTCAAGTTAACATGTTTATTTTTGTATCGTGTTCGTATTTGTATTGATATTGACTCACATAAACTTTGAATAAAAAATTTAACGTTAATATTATCTTTTCACTTAATTGAATTTATGCTCATACTTTTTATAAAACTAAAAATTAACTTAAATAAATATAATAATAATAATGAGTAAAAATATCTTTTTTATATAATAATATGTCAATTTTTAATAAATAGTTACAAATAATTAACATTTTATATCTATAATACTAATTAAAATGTTAATTTTGTGTTACCATACAAACAAGAAAATAGAAAAAGTGTTTATTCTTAAATAAACGGATTGATAGTGTCTATTTTGGGTCTGATGGGTTGAGCTGAATATGAGTCATTTATATTTCGTGTTCGTGTGTCAGGTCATTTTTGAGTTGAGTTATAATCAAGTTTGTATCATAAAATTCGTGTCGAGTTCAAGTTGTGTAATCGTGTTGAATCGAAAAATTTTACCCTTAGCTAAAATGGAAAACAATATTTTTTTTTAATTTTTAATTTTAATTTTAAATTTTTTTTAAAAAAAATAGAAATATATAAATGAAATTAATGTATACATACTATATATATATATATATATGTTATCAAACTCTTCTTCTAGTTTTCAATTTCAGAATCAGTTGTGCTTTCTGAGCTATATGGTGTCTAAATTATCAAAAAGTTTGATTGATAACAGTTACTTGGAATGGTCCTGATTTGAACCCTATTTTGTGGATAATTTCTTCAATTCTGTGAAGATTTTGCTGATCTTTTAATCCCAAATTAGTTCTATCTTCAGGTAGGCCGATTAGAGGTTTCTCTAATTTTTTATTTGAAGATAGCCTAATTTCATCAATTTTAGTTTCAATTTTATCTAGTTGTTTATCTATTGTTATTAGTCTTTGGTTGATGAAGTTATTTTGCTCAATTACCTACTACGTCTATAAGGCTTGTGTGACTTGTGTTTTCTGCATGATGGTGCTACTAACTGGAGACCATATTGTTCACAGAAATCACTCATTTCATACTTAGCCTTTTTCTTTTCATCTTTTAATTATTTACTAATTTTCATGTCAATACACATCTGCATACCTTCTTTTTGGCTTGTTAAGAAATTGGTGGAATAACTCTCTTACCCAAGAATCAAGAGACAGTATCAAATATGTTGTTGTTCTTGATGATGAAGGCATACCAATTTTTGATGAATGAATTGGTAAAGCAAAGGATGATGGGACTAACACTCTCATCTTCACAATAATTAAACATTTTGTTGGAGTACCCAGTAATATTGAAGCTAGGATCCATGACCAGCTTAGTAACCTTAGGTGCCCATATAACATCTCACATTTTCTTTTATATATGTATATAAATATATAGTAAATAATTGTGGTAAAAATATGGATATGTGTAGTGATGTGTGTTTGAATTTGGTAGATTGGAAAAGTAGAGATTTAAAATGTTAGTGAAAATAATAGTTGAAATTTAATTTTAATAAGTGAAAATATGAAATTTTAGATCCTAGAACTTGTATTAAATAGGTTTGGTGTAGGAATATGTGTTGGAGAGGTTTGGGATGGATTTGGTTGGCTTAGGAATGGATTGGAAATGGAAAAGGGATGAAACATGACGTAAACAGTGCACGTGAACAGTGCACTAGCTGCAACTTCAAGCGCGATTTCGATCTTGATGCAGTCAATATCTCAAAACTCAAAACATGAAAGTTTTAGAGCTCTTTCTTAGCATTCCATAATATCTTGAATCATCTTAATCAGAGCTCGGATGAGAGAGTTATGCCCAGATAACGAAGTGATGTCAAAACAGCTCAATTAGCTTGAACAGTACACTGGATGCAACTTTAAACCCGATTTAGACCTTGATTCAGTCAATATTTCTCAAAACTCAAAACATGAAAGTTTTAGAGCTTTTTCTTATCATTCCATAGCATCTAGAATCATCTCAATCAGAGCTCGAATGAGAGAGTTATGCCCAGATAATGAAGCGATGTTAAAACAGTCCAATTAGTTTTGTTTTGCATTTAACGTCTTCATTTGCATCCTAAATCAAAATATAAGAATAATGAATACATTTAGGCTTCAAATAAGTATAAAAGGCTTTAAGAAGCACCCTTTATCACCTTTTATTTGCAAACAACGCAAAACTTCATTAATAACCGGTTCCGATGGATAAAATATAAACTTTAGTGTTTCAGGTGTACATTGACTTTGGTTTTGAGATAAATCATAAAAATAAATATTTTTAGGTTAAAATAACATTAAAAATGAAGTCGGAACATCAAAAAACCTTATGGTAGTCATATAGATCAAATTTGAGATTTTTAGTGGTAAAATCGTAATTTTGGAGAAAACCAAAACAGACTGTGAACAGTGAATTTCGGGGCTGAGGTGTTTTAAACCCCATTTTCATCCCATTTGCCCTCATTTCTTTCACTCCACTCTCACCCCACACCTCTTGGAATCCTAGAGAACATTAGAGAGGAAGAAAGGAAGGGAAAAACAAGAGATTTAAGGGTAGATTTAAGATCAAAGCTCAAGTTCTTCCTACAAACTAAGGATTTAAGGTAGGGATTTTCTCTCATTCACTTATATTGAGGCTAGGGTATTTATATATGTATGTTTTGGCTATCAATGGTATATATATATGCTATGGAATCATCATCTCTTAGGCTTTTTGCAAGGATTATATGTTTTGAACAAAGTAGGGTTTAATACCCATGAAATATCCTTTCTAGTTTTAAAACCCTAATTTTTGGAGAGTGATGTATTTCCTTCCTAAATGCTTTCTTTATTATGGATTTCGAAACCTTAGTGCTTTGTGTTGGGTAGAAAAATGATGGTATTGTGATCTCATGTATTTTCTTAGTTGATTGTAGAATTGTTACATGATATATTTTGGGGATTTTGGATAGATTTTTGTAAATTGAGATAAATGTTGGAATTGTATGCTGGGTTAGGTTGTTTGTGATGCACATGAGTGAGAGGTTCCTTGTAAGGATGCTCACCCTTCCCAAGAGATTCCAAGTAAGGATACTTGAGAAACAATGTAGTGATTGGTGAGAGGTTCCATATAAGGATGTTTATCCATTCTCAAGAGGTTCCCGGTAAGGATGCTTGAGAATCAAAGGTGACCTAAAGGGGGTGGAGGTTACCCCAAAGTATGTCACACATCGAAAGAATTGTTGAAAATTGGTTATGGTAATTAATGGTTATTATTTGTATGTGGTGCTCGTTTATTCATTTAAGTAATGTTTTTAAATAAACTTGAGATCCTTTTTAAATGTCACTGCTTTATTTCAAATTATGTATCTATGTTATGTTAAAATTGAGACCGACCACTTTAAATGTTTTTTAAATCTTGTATGGGTTTGGGAGAATTTTTCTATAGAGCTTTGTACTCACCCCCTATCACTAACATTTTTTAGATTACTCATTTGAGGAGGAGGACGTAAGGGTTGAGGAGCCCGCTACTTGGGAGACTCCCCTGGACGGGAGTGTGGATCCCGAGGTGGACGCATAGAACGACCTCCTTTTCTTTTGTACTAGACTAGGACATTCTTTTGAAACATTGTGTAGTCTAACTTCTTTTGTTTATTCCGCTGCATTTCTTTAATTAATTTTTGAGATGTAATAGTCATGACTTGAGCTTATTCTTTTGGATAATGTTGTAAATATTCGTGGATGACAAATGAAGTCTTGTTTCTTAAGGGATTATATTAGTGCTCTCATGATATGAATGATTTTAGAATGTAATGTCGTCCAGGGTGTGTTTTGGGGTGTTACAGCCCAACACTTGGTGATTTCAGATGGTAAAAGATGTATTCATCTCCAGAGTTATGCTTAGGCCAGATTGTGATAAATCTTTCTGGAAAGAAAAATTTGTTAATGGCTTACCTAACCTCTTTGCCTTTAAAATTTGGGAAGCACTTAGTAAAGAAACTGGAATCATTGAATATGATTCATTAACCTACGGTGATTTTGTTAGTACCATCCAAAAAGAAGGTATGTGGATGCGTATTGACATGAAAATTAGTAAACAATTAAAAGATGAAAAGAAAAAGGCTAAGTATAAAATGAGTGATTTCTGTGAACAATATGGTCTCCAATCAGTAGCACCATCATACAGAAAATGCAAGTCACACAAGCCTTATAGACGTAGTAAAAGTCACTACAGACGTAGTACAAAGACTTTTAGTAAACCAAATTTTTATGAGAAGCCTAGTAAGAAACCCAGAAAACCTTATAAGCATAAAACTTATAAAAAAAATTTGGGGAAAAAGATAAGGCATGTTTACTAGGTTTATAAGCAAATGAAAAATAGGTTACCTGATCCTGAAAATCAAGTGGAAGGATTTCAAGCATGGGGCCATGAACCTGCCACCATCAGATAACTGCTGGATATCCTCTACATCTATAGTGGTGCTCTTATTGTTTTCTTTACTAAAGTTTTCATTTTCAACTATCCAAGAGTCTGGGAGCTTGACATCCTTCCAAAGGATTTGCTTAGGGACTTGGATATTTGACTGACTTGTACTAGATTGGATCAATAAAGTACTATCTTTA